AATTTCAAAAGAAGGACCCCAGTAAAGCCGGGCGGTTTTACTCTTATTTATATATATTTTTAAAATCCGGGGTATAGCCGAACGGCCATACAATTTATTGAAAAAAAAAAACCCAGCCAGCGCTGGAAATGTGTTTTTGTGCAAAGCGTATAGCCGAGTGGCTATACTCTATAAATAGAATATTTCAACAGTATAGCCGAACGGCTGTACTATATAAATAGAATTTTTTAAAATAATTTAATTAGTAGTTATGTTTTAATTATTATTTACTTTGTGAATAATTAGTATTTAATTTTTTAAATTTTTATTCAATACAATGTGAGTATTTTGTGTATAATACGTGAATTTTGTGTGTATTATTGAAAATTTTGTAAAAAATAAGCGTATTAAACATGAAAAATATGTACGTACGTATACAATACGAGTATTAAATGCGAAAATGCTAAATTCTTTATGTGAGTAATAACTCTGGAAAAGTAAAAACTCAAAAGGGTACAATAGAGACTCGGGTAATGGCCTAATACTAATGAATAATGCTCTAAACCACTCTAATCAATAAAAAAATCAAGGAAAAACAATTATTAAAAAAAAAAAATCACATTATCTTTGTAAAGAGTATAGCCGCAATGCTGTACTATTCTTAAAAGGGAATTTCAACGAAAGGACCACAGTAACACTGGGCGGCTTTACTCTTTTTTATGTAAAAAGAAATCCATAGTATAGCCGCACGGCTATACTATTTATTTTATAAAAAAAATCTGCCCTGCGCTTGGTACATGTTTTTGTGCAAAGAGTATAGCCAGACGGCTATACGCTATAAATAGAATATTTCAATGGTATAGCCGAACGGCTGTACCCTATAAATATTTTTTTTTAAAAAAAGTATAGCCGTATAGCCGTGCGGCTATACCCCGTGAATGAGTTTCTCTTTTTTAATTACTTTAATTAGTAGTTATGTTATAATTATTATTTTCTTAGTGAATAATTAATATTTATTTATTTTATTCAATAAAATGTGAGTATTTTGTGTATAATACGTGAATTTTGTGTGTATTATTGAAAATTTTGTAAAAAATAAGCGTATTAAACATGAAAAATATGTACGTACGTATACAATACGAGTATTAAATGCGAAAATGCTAAATTCTTTATGTGAGTAATAACTCTGGAAAAGTAAAAACTCAAAAGGGTACAATAGAGACTCGGGTAATGGCCTAATACTAATGAATAATGCTCTAAACCACTCTAATCAATAAAAAAATCAAGGAAAAACAATTATTAAAAAAAAAAAATCACATTATCTTTGTAAAGAGTATAGCCGCAATGCTGTACTATTCTTAAAAGGGAATTTCAACGAAAGGACCACAGTAACACTGGGCGGCTTTACTCTTTTTTATGTAAAAAGAAATCCATAGTATAGCCGCACGGCTATACTATTTATTTTATAAAAAAAATCTGCCCTGCGCTTGGTACATGTTTTTGTGCAAAGAGTATAGCCAGACGGCTATACGCTATAAATAGAATATTTCAATGGTATAGCCGAACGGCTGTACCCTATAAATATTTTTTTTTAAAAAAAGTATAGCCGTATAGCCGTGCGGCTATACCCCGTGAATGAGTTTCTCTTTTTTAATTACTTTAATTAGTAGTTATGTTATAATTATTATTTTCTTAGTGAATAATTAATATTTATTTATTTTATTCAATAAAATGTGAGTATTTTGTGTATAATACGTGAATTTTGTGTGTATTATTGAAAATTTTGAAGAAAACAAGTGTATTAAACATGAAAAATACGTACGTGTACAATATGAGTATTAAACGCGAAAATGCTAAATTCTTTATACGGGTAATAACTTTGGAAAAGTAAAAACTCAAAAGAGGATAATAGAGACTCGGTTAATGGCCTAATAGTAATGACTAATGATTTAAACCACTCTAATCGATAAACAAAAATTGGGGAAAAACAATTATAAAAAAAAATAATTGTATTATCCGTGAAAATAGTATAGCCGCACGGCTATACGAGTTATAAAAAAGAAATAAAAAAGGAACCCAGTAAAGCCGGGCGGCTATACGCTTTTTAACAATAAAAAAATCCGTAGCTTATTTTTATAATAAAAAAAGAGATTTTCTATTTAAACCCCATATTTCTCTTAGTTCACCCCATATTCTAAGTTCACCCCATCTTTTAATTTAAATTTTCACAATTTCTAAGAAAACCCCACTATCTTCCCAAACTACCCTTAAATACACCCCAAACTGAAAAAATAAGAAATAAAATAGATTTTCTATTTAAACCCCACAATTTTCTTTGTTCCTAGCAGAAAAAAAACACAAACAAATGGAATCCCAAATCCGAAATTTAATACTTTATAGAGAAAGAGAAAAACTTTACCTCTCTCCAAGTAGAGGAGTTTGTAGAGGAGTTTGTAGAAGAGTTTGTCCTAATATGATCCAATTTATACTTTATCTCTGTCCTGATCCAATTTAAATATGATGTAAAGGAGTTTGTATTTTTCTAAAACTTAATATGAAGAGTGGTGGGGTGCATGTATAGATGTACTAAGGTCAATTATTAAGTTGGATGACTTTTTTTGTCTTTTTCCACTATAATAAAACGTATAACTTAATGATTTAAATACTGAGGTGAACAAAGAGAAGTGCGGGGTTTAAATAGAAAATCTCTAAAAAAATCCGGAGCATATTTTTATAATAAAAAAAATGGGGATCTATCGTGAATGTAAAAACTCAAAAAGGAGTTCTTCCCGTCATCAGGTAAAGCAGGGTGACTCCGGCTGACCAGACGTCGGCCTTAGGGCCTGGATGCATTCTCGTAAGGTAATATCACATTAAAACAGATCTAAAGCAATTACATATACTGTCATTGCTCTTAGTTTGGTTATAACTCAAATTGACTAGCAAATCGGTTGTAAAAATAGGGTCTGATTGCTATACTTATAGAAAATATCTGTTGAAGAACAAGAGAAAAACTCATATTGATGCTCTAAAGGAACATGAGGATGAAACGAGCGCAATATCAGAAAACTATCTAAGAAATAAGGATGAAGGCAAAACCTCATCTTTATGAGAATCATCCGTTCGCTTAGAATCTATTGTTGCACCTAAACTGATATCTACAAGATCACCTCTCACAAACTTTTTTTCTCTGTTTAGTGGAGCAGATTTAGGCGGAGGGAGACGGCCATGATCAAAGGACACATGACGACTTGATTTTGGTTTACCTGAGAAACGTGTAAATCCGTTAGTTAGTCAGATAAAAGTCCAGTTTTTCTTGTTTTTATTGCAAGCTTAACAAAGTCTCTTGATGACTGCAGTCGGAGAGATCCATTTCATTTGGCAAAGCAGCTATCCTGAACATGAAGGCAAACGTTCCTTATTCATTTTCACACACACACCACGTAGCCTTTAAAATGAACAGACCAAACTCATATTTGCCTTAAGGGATAAGCACAACAGATCCAGATGTTTTCCTATTCTCAAGGTCTTCGTGTGCCTGTGCTGCTTGAGACAATGGGTAGGTGTGATTTACTCGAACCCGCAATACACCTGATTGAACATTACCAAATACCTCTCCCGCCATCCCTAGCAATTCGTCTCGAGTTTCAGCGTAATTAGAGAGGCTAGGCCTAGTCAAGAACAGTGACTTCACTGCAATGGCTGACAATGGAACCGGATCTGGCGCACCTGATGACTGCCCAAAACTCACCATGTATCCACGAGTCTTCAAGCATGCCAGTGATCCCTGAATACAACAATAACTCCCAATTAAGGATTCTTTGTCCAAAATACAAATTAGCAAAAGACTGCCTACCCAGAACTCATTATCTACCAGATTATGTTGATCTGGGAGACCAGTTGGGCTTGCAACATTTGAATAAATCACGACACAACACATTTATTTGAGGGTGTCTTTTCTTCTTCTCTTTTAATTACTGATTACCAACCGTTTGCACTACCACAATCACAATGTAACTAACTTTAGGGTCTATTAGGGAAGAGAGATTTCAGGTCTAAGAATTTAGTAAATAAAATATAGCTAGATTGACTGATCCGACATAAAAGCCTTTTGTCAAAATTCAACTCCTAACTTTAAAGCATTCCATCTAAAGGGACCCCCTCATCTTTAAAAAATTCATAAACCTCGCTCAAATTCAAAAACATCTGGTTTCATAGGCCTGGTCTAGCATTGAGAAACTTCAGCACCATGTTAAGGTGAAGCCTACTCAAATGTACTCATGCAGAATTTGAACAGGGTATGATCTCTCCCTAAACTCC